TAAAACTCAACAAAAAGAAAGTGAGTAACCCAATTAAAAAATGGGCAAATGATGTGAACAGACACCTAACCAAAGAAAATATGCAGATGGCAAAGAAGCATATGAAAAGACGTTCCATCATACGTCATTAGAGAGTTACAAATTAAAACAATAGTGAGATGCTACTACACACCTATTAGCATGGCTAAAAAGACAAAACACTTGACCACACCAGATGTGGTGAGGACATGGAGCACCAGAAACCATCATCCATTGTTGGCGTCGTTGCTAGATGGTGGAACAGTCTGGAAGTGTTTTGGCAGTTTCTTACAAAATTGAATATAAGATCCAGTGGTTGCATTCTTTGGTATTTATCCAAAGGAGTGGAAAAGTTATGTGCACACAAAAACCTGCTCATGAATGTTTATGGCAGCTTTATTCATAATTGCCCAAACTTGGAAGCCACCAAGATGTCCTTCAACCGGTGAATGGAGCAACAAACTGCAACACATCTCCACAATGTGTGTTAGTTTCCTAAAGCTGCTATCACAGAGCAGGTGGGGTTGCTTCAACAACAAGAATTGTCACACAGTTCTGAAGCTAGAGGTTTCAAATCAAGATGTTGGCAGGATTGGTTCCTTCTGAGTGCCGTGAGGGAGAATCTGTTCCATGTCTCTCTCCTTGATGGTGGTGTGCTGGTGATCTTCTGCATTCTTTGGCCTGTGGAAGCATAATTCCAGTCTTCCCGTGGCAATCTCCCTGTGCCTCTGTCTCTGTGTCTAAATTTTCTCTTTTTAAAAAAATAAGAACACAGTCATATTGTAGTAAGGCCCACCCCAAGGATCTCATGTTAACTTGATCATCTGCAAAGACCCTTTTTCTACATAAGGTCACATTCACAGGGCATCAGGACTTCAATATTTGGGGGGAGGGGTACCATTCAACTCAGAATATAATGGGATACTGTTAAAATATTCCATTATTCCAGCAATAAAAAGAAAGGAGGTATTAAGCCACTAAAAGACATGAAGGAAACCTAAATGTATATTTCTAAATGAAAGAAGCCAATCTGAAAAAGCTATATACCATATAATTCCAACTATATGACATTATTGAAAAGGCAAAAACAGGGAGAGAGTAAAAAGATCAGTGGTTTGCCAGGGATTCAGGGGGATGGAGGGATGAATAAGTGGCACACAGGTGATTTTTAGAGCAGTGAAACTCTTCTGTATGACACTGTAATGGCAGATGTACGTGTGCCATAGAATTAGAAATGTCATATAAATGACATTTATGACATCAAATGGCATAAAACATATTGGCAAACATATATATTTGTCAAAAACCCATAGAATACAGAGCACAAAGAGTGATCCCTAATGTAAACTATGGACTTTAGTTAATAATATTGTATCAATATTGGCTCATCAATTCTAACACATGTACCACAACAAAAGGAGGATGTTAATAATGGGAAGAACTATGTGTGTTGTGGGGTGCTGGGAACTCTCTATACTTTCTGCTCAAGTTTTCTGTAAGCCTAAAACTTCTCTAAAAATTAAATTCTATTAATATACTTGAAAACCCCCACCATTTTCTGTGGTAGAGAAATCCCAGATAGCTCCATAGCTTGAGTAATCAGGAAGGGCCTCTCTGAGCACCATGAGGATCAGGGGGAGACAGGCACACAGTAGAAGAAAATGAGCAGGGACTGAAGTAAGCAGGGCTTTTTAAACAGAGTATCATGTGGATTTTATTCTGGGTATGATAGGGTTTAATAGGGAAATATTAGGATATGATCTATGTATCAAAAATATCACTCTGGGAGCACCTGGATGGCTCAGTTGCTTAAGCGCTGTCTCTTGATTTCTGCTGAGGTCGTGATCTCAGGTCTTGAGTTCGAGCCCTAGGTCAGCTCTGCGCTAGGCGTGGAGCCTCTTGAGATTCTCTCTCTCTCTCTCTCTCTCTCTCAAAGTAAAATATAATTAAATATCACTCTGGCTGTTGGATGTAGAGAATATATTACACATGGAGGCAACCCTGGGAGCAGGGAGATTGGTTAGGAGGGTACTGCTGTAGTCCAGGCAGGAGGTGATGATGGTTTAGACTAAGGTTGGGCAGCCGATGTGGAAATAAGGGGATCGACTAGGGATGTGTTTGAGAAAGGTAATGGAAGAGAGGATTTCTCCACTCTGTCACTCATCTGTGACATAGCCATGAATCTGGAAATATGTGGAAATGTCAAATTGGTTATAGGCTGAAATCCATGCCCTTTGCCATTCACATCTCCTTCCATGGAATGAAAACTCATCAGATCAAATATTATTTTAATATAAATGGGCCTTGCAAAATTGCACATGATGTTTGCCTTTCATAATGTTTGTTGTAATAGAATTTGACCTGTATCTAAGATTCATTTAATATAGGCTTAAAGTGTTTTGCTTTCCTTTCACATTCTCTGAAAATTTTTAATTACTGAAGTTAGAAAAAAGTGTCTCGTTTAGCAAAGAGAGAAGTTAATACAACTGAGCAACTCTGCAAATAAAAACACTTATGTTTCTGTTCTTTAGATTGGGTACACCGCATCTGAAATATAGACCAACAATGATGGGGAATTGTTGAATATGATGAAATCACACAGATAGATATCAATCACAACTTGTCAAGGAGAAGAAAGGAGTTGTTTTTGTTATTGTTGTATATTTTAAAAACTATTCTTAAAATTGGCTGAGAGTAACAAATGTGTCAGTTTTTGCCTTGATATTTTAAGACGGATGACAAAGAATTAGAAAGCAAAGGATACCATAACTGACTTAAAATATGGCAAATTAACAGAAGAACTGGTATCATTTTAAAGAAGAAAGGCCACAAAAATTAAATTATTTTAAAGAAATTTAGAAAAATTACTACAGTCTTTGAAACATTACCATAAAAAGGGATTACTTTGTTTCCTGTGGGGAAACTCAAATGCACATAGGATAATAGTCAAATGAACAAGAATGTCATACTTTGAATAAATGTAATACTTTGAATAAGAAAATAATACAATAGGATCGTATATGCGAATTGTATGCTTTTTGATTACTTGTCAGTTATTTCATTTTAGAAGAATATACCTTATTCTTAGTAATTAAGCATTATTAGGAATTACATTTGCCTAATGAAGAAGGGATAGTATCCTTGGAGCTGTTAGTCACAGCATGTTAGTCACACACAATCAAATCATTGATTTTTCTAGTCCATTCAAGGGTGCTTACACTTAGGTCCTCAACGCTTACTTACATTTATGAAGAGTGAAATAGTCTAGACTGAGCTGCACTATCTTCTTTTAAAAATTCTACTTCATTCATTTTTTTTGGCAAAGCTTTTTCCTGATTTTGAAATTTCACTGCTTGCAAATACCTTGTTTTCTTTGTATAGAATGTATCTAATGTCTATACATGGGTTATACTCTCAGTTTGAGGAAACATTTTGCAGTTCTAAGTTCAACAAACATGACATTGTTAACCATGTCAGTCTTAACAGAAAGGAAAACATGGATGTGTTGTATCTATTGTCACTGCTTTATATTTTTTATTTCAGAAGTTCTTACCAACAAAATAAACAATCCTACAAGATTTATATTGCACCATGTCAGTTTCAGTAATTTTCAATTCAAAGTTTGCAAGGAATTGGCATTTTGCCTTATAGAAACACTTCTAAAAAGAGTATCTGAAACCTTTAGAGTGAGAAATACATCTATGTGTTTAATAAAATATTAAGGATATAAACTATTGGAATCATGTAAACAAAAAGTCAGGTCTTTACTGGGTAGTTACAAAAATTATATTAGTCGGATTTTTTTTTTTTTTTTTTTTTTTGCTTAAGAGTTTTATGAGTTGCCTGAATAGGAAAAACTGAATTATCTGTTTTCTTCGACCTGTTTCTGTGATTTGTGAAAGGTCCTCAGGGTCAACCAGGATGCCAGTGGAGCATTGTGGGAGACAGAAGAGGAAAAAACTGGGGCTTTAATCTTGCATTAAGTCCAGTGGTAAGGCAAGAGGGGAAGGGGGCCACGCTTCCTCTTCCTCCCAGCAGAGCCCTGGACGAGTGGGACCAGAGGGACCGCAGAACCCCGCTAAGTCAGCGCAGGGTGGAGAGCGCACACTGTCTCCTGACTCCGGAAAGGCTTCCTTCTCTTTTCAGAACACATTTCTGCACAGGTCATTTATTCTCAGGGCAGCTCGCTCCCCGGTGGCTTTATTTACAGTAAATGATCTAACGTCGGTTAAGAAGCACCGTTGAGGGGTGATTGTTGAGGGTTGTGGAGACAAAAACGTCCTATACAAACCCCAAATATCTGACTCTTTAAAGGCACCGAAAGACTTGGAAGTGACCGTTTCTAATTCTGGAGACACACACACACACACACATACACACACACACACACACACACGTATGCATGTTTCGTTTCGATTCCTTATGTAAGTTTTCGATCTAAAACTTCTTTCCTCCTGCATCCATTACCTGTCATTGCGCATCTAACCCGTCTGCCTTATTTGGGGCTGCACAGGTCGTCCGTACAGCCGGCTGGGGAGCTGTTGCTTCTGCGAACGCCTCCGGCAGCCGGAGCGCTGAAAAATGCTGAAGGCGAGCAGGCAGCGAAAGAGTGCGGAAAACGCTCTCCTCCTGCTCGTCTCCTCCACCGCCGCCCTCCCTAGTCGCCCCGGGCCCTCGCCTCTAAACCCGGCGCGAAGTTGGCCCGGAGACGGGGCAGAGGGACCAGGCGGCCGGGGCGGCGGATGGCAGGATGCCGGCGCGGCGCGTCCCGCAGCCGCCAGAGCCTCCGGCCGCCGCCGCCGCAGCTGTCACCTCCTCGCGCGGCCGCCCGGCTCGCCCCTCGCCTCCAGCCGACGGCTCGGAGCGGGGAAGCTAGCCGCTCCCGCTCACAGGTCGCCGCGTCCCCAACTCCCGGTCCTCACCCCAGCCCGCGCGCTGCCTCCTGCGCCTCCGCCCCCGCTACTGCAGCGGGGGCAGCGGTGTGGCGCTCCCCAGGACCGCCCGCCACTCTCCGGGGCACGCCGCCGCCGCCGCCGCCGCCGCCGCCGCTGCCCGGCGCCGCAGCCCACAGCCCGCGGCCCAGCCCGCGGACGCCCCCGGCCAGGCGACGGGGACCCGCGCCTGAGCATCCCGGGGCGTGCGCTGGGTGCGAAAGCGGGGGGGGGCGGGAGGAAAGGGGGCGGAGGAGTTCCTGATTCCCCGGCGGACCCAGGAAGTTGTCCTTAAAAAAAAAATTATATCGCCGGCCCGTGGTTGAGCAGCCCCCTCGTCAGAGCAGCATGTGGACTGGCTCGCCGGGTCCCCTAAGTGCTGTGTGGCTGCCGCCGCCGCCGCCGCCGTCAGAGCTGCCGCTGCCGGCCGCAGGAGCCCCGCGCGGGGCGAGGAGCGGGGACGCGCGGCCGCCGCGTCCCCTGCTTGCTGCTGGCCGCTTCTTCTCGGGAGGTGGCAGTCACTGCTGCTGCTGAGAAACCAGCCCGCATTTCCACGGCTGGTCGTCTGGTGAGGAGTTGAGACTCTGCGCCTCCTGCTTGGACCCACATGGCTTGTTACCTGGTCATCAGTTCGAGACATCTCAGCAATGGGCACTACCGGGGCATTAAAGGAGTCTTCAGAGGGCCCCTCTGCAAGAACGGATCTCCCTCTCCGGTAACCTGCGCGCACACACACACACACACACACACACGCGCGCGCGTCCAAAAGCAAGATAAACAAAAAGAGATATTGTCCTGGTACAATGAGTGGGTGGTGGTGGAGATCTACCTTACCCATGAGTATATTGTGTCTGTTTTTACATTTTATTGACAGGCTGTTACACACTGAGGGGTGTGTGTTTACATGTATATGTTCAACACAGTCATTAGCATCTATAGTGCTGTGGGTGCAAATATTTACCGAATGCAGTTAACTGCAGGGCTGTGAGGGTAGCTTCTGTGTGCTATGTCAAGTTACGAATCTGCTGATTTGGGCAGTGTAGAAAGTTTGAGTGGCACTTTATAACCATGCTTTGTGAAGTCATCAGTTGGGATGAGTTAAATAATGCTGCTGTTACTTTATAAGAAAAAAAACTTCTTAAAGATTTTGCATCGAGGTACTGACGGACGGAAAGGTGTTGGATGCCAGCACTTGATATAAATCTCATGCTTAACTGTGTAGGTTCTTTAAGGAATGTGGAAGAGTCCTTGTGGAAACATGAAGTGGATAGCTTGTGGTAAAGATTATTAACAAGTTTTCTGGTTTAATCAAAAAACCAGTATTTTAAGTCTGGATGATATAAAGAAGGAAAACTTAAGTCGCCTGATTTTTATTTATTTATTTTTTGCACTTTTCATCATGGTTTAATGCTTCATTAGCCTGAATTATTTGAAACTGCAATATGTCTTTAAAACTTTTGATTAAGTGCTATATGTGATTTGCATGAGAAATTTAAAATCAGAAAGTCCAAGTACCCAGAGCTATCCCTAGGACTCCTAATTATGACAAACCAGTGCCTCACATATTTTTATGCACTGTGAATGTGGATCGTGGCAATCCCTCCCACCCCCTCAACTACATGGTACTGAAGCAGAAGTGTTAGAATGGAATATACTGTTTATATTGACACTTACAATTAAACTCTTAGGGTTAGAGGGGTCTTGGAGAGTTTTAGTTGAAAAAAGCCCACATTCAATCCTTCTGAGCAGCTGGTCTGAATCCTTTCTATTTTTTTTTTTAAAGGTTCCACATCTTTTATTTTATTTATTTATTTATTTTTAAGATTTTATTTATTTGACAGAGAGAGAGAGAGAGGGAACACAAGCAGGGGGAGTGGGAGAGGGAGAAGCAGGCTTCCCGCGGAGCAGGGAGCCCGATGCGGGGCTCGATCCCAGGTCCCTGGGATCATGACCCGAGCCGAAGGCAGATGCTCAACGACTGAGCCACCCAGGCGCCCCAAATCCTTTCTATTTTTAAAGATTCTCCGGATTGGAGTTTCTGCAGTCTCAGCAAACCACCTTAATGTTTAAGAACCCACAGTGTCAGAATCTTCCTTATAGCAAACTTAAATCATTTATCAAGTTTTTCTTTGAGCTCATTTCATCTTGAAAACCTAGAATGTTCCACTTTTCTCCAAGGTATTAGTGTTCAACGCTTTGATAATCTCTGTGGCTATGTACCAAAACCCTCTCTTTGGTTATGGACATCTGAACTGGGCAGTGTGTTGTAGTCTATATGCTTCAATAGTTCACAGGATAAAGGAAGAATTACTTCATAGTTCTTACATTGTTCAGTTCTACTTAAGTTTGTTAGAATATGGAATTAATCTTCCCAAATCTAAAGGGCTTGTAGAGGAAATTTCTGTCACATGGTCAGAAGGGGTCCTTCCTTCTCCGCTGTGGTCACTCATCTCCCAGAAGCCTGATGGATGCCCCAGGGACGGACACATGAATGTGGTTATGACAAGACAGCCCATAACCAACATGTCTCTGCTGGCTGGCCAGGTGCTCACACCCCCAGGACACTATTCCTATTCACTGCTGGGCTCATTTTTATAAAATACTAATTCATTTTCTTTTATCTAGGTGCTACACTTTGACTCATGGGATTGTTCTCTCCAGTACTTTCACATTTGATTGTACTTAAATTACATTTGCATCATTCAAAAAATAGCCAAGTTAGTCATGGACTAACATGGACTTCCTACACTTGATTTATTTTGTCTTTGTTTACATTTTACTATGGAATTTGAATGACTTTTTCCAGGTTTCAGTAGTTTCTCACATGAGCTAGGCAGTGTGTGAAAAATTGATGTTCATTCATTCTCTGTCACAGGCAGGTTTTTGACACAAGTCATTGCCTTCACATTATATGACACTTAGTCTTTCTTCCTAAATTAAAATAAGTCACTACCTTCTGAGCCCTAAACCCTTGAGCATTTAAGTAAGTTTCCTAGTATAGATGAGTGTATGTTTGCCTTCTTTATTAGTGAGTTGTGAAGCACAAAGCTAAAAACTGGGGTTATGCCTCATTTCTTTTTTTATATTGAGCAATACACACCCCCCAATCACTTTCAGGTTGACAGACATTTACTGATTTTTTTCATCAACATAAATATTAAACTCACAGATCTGTAAGATAAGGTCATTTATTTTTTCTTAAAACACATATCTACTCTGACAATACCCTTTTTATTATTTTTTTTTCAAATTTTGTGCCCAGAATGTCTCAAACTAACTTCTACATCATTGACTTGGATTATTTCCACTCATTGAGACTCAGTTTATCTGGGACTCCGGACTGGGATACAGTCATTAGTTGATTTAACTCACTCTTACTGAGGTCTGCAATACTTCAACTTTGGTTCTTACTCTTTTAATCCAAGTGTCCTTTCAATTTTAATCCATACTTTCCTTTTTAATAGAGCTGTTTAAAAGTAGCAAATAACACGATTATTGAATGAGACTACTTTGTAACTTTATTATAGAAAAGAGAAAAGCCACAATTAATTTTTGATGTAAGGAGAGTTTCTTCTGACAGATCAGAAGAAATTATACTTACTATCAGAAGAGATTCTCCTTACATTATATATATATAACATATACAAATATAGAAAATATATCTATATAGTCTTCTGATATTAATCTAGATAATATGAATTTAGCATTTCAGTGTCTTCTGGATGTAATTCTGCACTTATATATTTCAAGTAGTTATATACATTTGTCTTGTTCAAATCACATGCCTGTAGAATGTAGACACGTGGTATTAAACTGACAGCACAGGGGAAATGATTATATTTATATACATTTTTATTTCAAAGGATTTCATTTAGGAAACATTGAATCTTTGCATGGAGTTCTTATAATAGATACTTAGTGGGATACTTGAGAAATAAATAAAGCATTTTACCCCCAAACAATTTTTGCAGATCAGCAAACTGGAAATCCTGGAGTGAAATTCAGCTCCTATCTTCAAAGTGAACACATGCACATGTCTTGTCTGTTGCATCTCTTTTCTTTTGGAGACTTGATATGAAAAAAAAAAATAGCGTACTGCTCTTCATCCTAATTAGAATGTGAATAATTGATGAGCTAGTTTATGTTACTTTAAATCCAGGATAGGTTAAAGGAAAGAAAAGAACAAGGAGAGGATTACAGAGTTCTTTGTACACCATTGAGTATTACATAGTACTTAATGGTAAAAGTCTCTAATTCTAGAAAGTGAATTTGCACCCTCTCACATTTTAGGATGTTTATCCCCCACCCTATCACAACTCTGAAATAAAATGACTGAATGATGACTTTAAAAATCCATATGATATACACATACACTTGTATCCATATTTGTCAATACCCACACATAGGCATACAGATACAATGTTTTCAGTGCTCAAACCTGAGAAGTCACCTATGTGTTACACTGTGAATTCTTTTACCATCAAATATGCTAACTGTAAAACTTTGTTATCATAATTGAAGTATTCATAAGAAAACAGTCTATAAGTGAATTCATTTTTTGTGTGTGTGTGGACTTCTACATTCTTCTATCACCATGTTTGAGTTCAATAAAACAAATAATATTCTCTACATAGTGCCAAAAATATGTTTGAATTTATTCATAGTTATTTTTTGTAATGACAAATATTGCCTCAAATTTAGATTCGAGTATGGTTTGTTGCTTAATTTGTGTGTGGTTAATAGTATGACTATCATCCAAGTTACCGACTGACAAAATATTAATAATAATCAGAGTTGTATATTTTATCCGTGGTGCACATTTAGCTTATTACCACTCTTTTGAAGCTTACATAGAGCGGTACTTCTTAAGAAGTGCTTATTCCTGAGAATACCATAGTTAGATGTCTACAATTATCTGTTTCTGGAGATGCCTATACCTTTGGATATGAAGGAAAATTGGGGGATTTTCATCTGAGCAACAGATCAGGGTCCCTGGATTTTGTTGTTGTTTGTATTTTGTTCTGGTTAGTGATCTCATTATAAATTATACATCTGACTAAACTGCCTAATGGAAGGAGGTGGCATACAAAGAAACTAGCATTTTAAATGGACTAAAAAATCATATAAAGTTCTCTTTTAAAAATTGAAAATGCATATGTATAAATGAAAAAAGTTCTAGAAACAAATTACCTTGAAGGTACATCTCTTGAGAGAACTCCTTCCGTGAAGCAATGAGTGCAGACCCAACCTTGTTGTTTCTTCTAATGCCTATACTCTTGTGTTGTGTATTTTCATTATGTTTACTAAGTCAATGTTAAACACATCTAAAAATGCTCTCAAACTGATGCACTTTTCATGTGCCAAATATAATTATGAAGATGTAGTCTCCCATAGAGAAGTCACCTATGTCCTCTTTTGGAATTCATGAGTAGGCTAATGCTGCCTTTCATACTGAAACTTGTAGATATTTACAATAAAGACGATTCAGGTATGATTCTTATAATACATGTTTTCTTTGTCATGACAAATAGTGTATTAAGCGAACTCCTTTCTTCTCACTGCCTTTTCAACCCTTCTTCTTTCCCCCAACTAACTGATTTCAGAAACTTGTAGTTGGCATTTATGCTTTCAATTTGAAGTGTCAAGGTTTTAGGTCTTAAATTTGTGTGTATCTGCCTTTGGAAAGCTCTTGTGGTAAGAAGAATCAGATGAGTA